TCAGAGGAGCCAGCGCTGGAAGATTCCTCATCGCTATCGGCCAGACAGTATGCTCTGGGCCTGCAACTGAACAGGGGGAGAATCACCACCATGCCTGCTCATCACTCTGCTTCGAAAGAACACACACACACACACACACACACACAAGCACTCAACCACAGTGGAGTCAAGATATAACTGCTGCAACACATTTTATCATTCTCTTCAACCCACCCATAAGGGAAGAAGCTCAATCCAAGAGTCCTTGGACTGGCATTGTTGCTTGGGAGACTCTTCAGTGCCAAGTCCCTTAACATGAACACAGGGGACTTGGGCCTGGAAGAGATTGCTTGCAGCATGCGTCAGAAGGACAGGTGGTGGTAGCATGATACAGTCCACGCAAAATGCAGTGATTTCATTAACAGTGCAGAGGTAGCTGGGGGGTGATGAGTGGAAAGAACGGATGGCTGCAAGGGTGAGGTGACAGCTTATGTTGGAGAAATGACTGCCCCTCGGCAGATGATGATAAGGATTTTCAGGCAAGTGCTTGACTCTGGCTGAGTTCAACAACACTCATGCCTTCCTGGCTTACTTACCCCAAAGTTAGTTTTGACCCAAGACTCCTTCCTAGCAAAAGTTCATACCTTACCCCACACCTGAGGGTCACAGAAAAAGCCACCAACCACAAGGTACAAGTCTCAAGGGACTCTAGGAAGCAACTGACATAGGAACCTAGGAACCTTCTAGAGAAGTAAATTTAAAGACCATCTTTTTACTAAAGTAATAATAATAAAACACCTCATCTGAGAACAATGTTCCTCACTGATCCTTCCAGGCTGGACACTTGGTCTGCAGTGGCATGGGGCTTGCTGGAAATGCTCAGGGTGCCCCTCTGAGAGGCACTGAGGGCTTCTTGGTCAAGCTTTTGCCGCACTGGCAGAGCCCATCTCTGAGGCCCAGAGTCTTAACTGGGATGAAATGAGTAAAGGACAGAGTAGTTTCTGAACACTGTTAAGCAACCAATGGTCACTAAGCAGAGGCTAGGCCTTGTATTTCTGACAAGGACAAATTACTCAGAAGATCAAGGCTGTGGAGCTCAGGTCCTAGCTCCCTGCAGCTGCGATTCTTTTGTTTTCTCTGATGCTGTCCCTGGGCCACCAGAAGCCCAATGGGCAGTCATCTCCTGGCCAACAGGGGCCAAGGGCAACCAAGGGCAGAGTGCATACACCAGCATGGACTGGAAGGCCCACGAGAGGCTCCAGCAGGGTGCACTGGGGGTGGACCAAAGCCTCCGCCCCTGAAACAGGAGCCCGGCTGTAAGAGGACCTCGCAAGTGTCCTGCCCACAGGACACGTGAATCCTTCTCAATCCTGGCTCTGAAACACTAGAGCCAACTGCTTCAGCAAACAGGCTTGAGAAGAACATTACAGGGGAGCTGCCTCAGCAGGAACAAAAGCCTCTTGTCCCTCACCCTGCCTGCCCTGCCCAGGAGCAGCCCCTAATCAACTTTCTTCCTCCTTCCAGAACCTGGTTAGTCCAGGAAATGCTTGCATTCATTCCTGGTCACAGAGCCATTGCAGAGCTTTTAGTGGTTAGGCAACCCTCAAAAAGAGATCTTCTTTTATTTAACATGTACATAAAAACCAAAAAACCAATTGCCATGGAGCCGATTCTGACTTATGGCAACCCCACGTGTGCAGAGTAGAACTGCTCCATAGGGTTTCCATGGCAGATTGCGAGACCTTTCTCCTGGGGCGCCTCTGGGTGAGTTCAAACTGCCAACCTTTTGGTTAATAGTCAAGTGCTTAACCAGCTGTGCCACCCAGGGACTCTAAGATGTACATAGTAAAAATGTAATTCCTAAGAAAGCCTAAACTGGGTCTTGGGGATCAGGAAAAACAGGAACTTAAATCCCTAAGATTACACAACCATCTCGGAAACTTATCTTTACTTCTCCTCTGGTAAGAGGTCTGTGCTCTCTCTCAGACCTAGCGATGCTGGGGATGGAATCTGTGTCCTGTACAGCACAGGTTACCTGCTCCTCATCCACAAAGCATAAAAGGCTGCCTGGAAGACCTGGAGCCCCAGTGAAATCTGCTGAGCCACCAGTCCCCTCGTGTGCCCACTGGCATTTGTCACACCTGGTAGCCTCGGGGCCCTGGGCAGAAACTGGCAAAGGCTGTGCACTGCAGCAAGCTCTCAGGTTCCTGAATTAATCCTCTGCAGGACAGACAGCAGGACAACTTCTGTGGCTTGAAGTTAATAATGTAAACCATGCTATACCAGCTAAAGCAGATCAGACGACATAAAATTCTGATTTTGTCAAAATGGTATCTCTACTCTCTGCACTGTGAGCTGTTAGTATGTGGCACCCAATACTTCTTAGATGTATAGCTAAATGTGTGGCTGACGTTCAGTTTTATAATTAAGGACACTCATTTTATGATCGCAACCTTATGATTTCAGCACGAACTTCAGAGAAAGACACTCTGCATATCCTTATACAAGATGTGCTATAATGCAACTAGCCTAATATTTTTAAACACATCTCAGAGTTCCAGATGAGTGTGATATCCTCTGGAAGGCTTATTCCAGTTATGCTGCCTCTGCTAAAAACCTTTCTGGAAATGTGTCCGGAGTCACACATAAGAAAGAGTGAATTATTTCATCACGGGTACACTGTCTTGGACCAAACATTTTATTTCTTGGTCTCATATCCTTTCTGACTGACTTCTAGCAATTTCTCAAAGATCCAATCCATCTACGAAGCAGGATGATTTGCGGTCACTCAGGATAGTTAAAAAAAAAAGTCACAGACTCTGGGGGCAATAATAAAAATAAGCTCCAAAAATGCTTAGGGAAAAGATGCATAACTAGGTTAAACAGCCCCATGAGACGTCTGCCTTGAGGGGACCATACTCATGTGAATATATTCATTTTCTTTAAGAAAAATGTGTCCCACACACCTGTCACAGACAAATGTGTGCATGCATCTACAGGACTAGACTGAGTCAGAGAGTCACCTGCAAACCCAGAACTTCAGGGTGGTGTCTGCAAACCTAGAATTTCAGGTGGTGGCTCTGAGCACACTGTGGACTAGTGGCCCAATATGCAGGTCAGAGGGGCTGCCACATGGCGATCTGGACACTGGGCCCAGGCTGCAGTGGGAGCTGCAGTGGCAGAACATGAGCAGGGCAAGTACTTCCTCATAGGACACGCTCCACTCCACTGTTCAGTTAAAGAGCACCCAGCTTACAGAACGTCTCCTTTTTGATCCTTTTCATGTCAATTCCTATAGTTAAGACTGCTCAACTCACTACACCGAATTCCATTTTGAGTACCTTACTGCCTACGAGTTATATTACGTTAACTACAAATATGTAACAAGAAAACCATCTGGGAAGTAACAGGACTAAAGGAAAAATGCCCGCAGACATGAAGTGTACATACACTCCAAAGGGAAAGGACACCACTGGAACACAGTAACATAAATTTCTCACTATGACCCTCAGGGTAACAGCGTGAACAAACTTCCTACCAGTAGGTAGGACTTCCCAAAGGTGGAGCAGTATCTCCTCAGAGACTCCCAGAGAGCACAATTGTTTACAACTTGAAGGGGACTGAAGAAAACAGTGAGACAGAGCAGAGAGGTCCTGCCAGAGCAGGAAACAGGGGCAACCCTGGCTGGCGAGTGAGGCCCCACACAGGCAGCCACAGGCCAGAAGGGAGCGCTGCTGAGGGCCAACTCTGAGACATTCTCCTCTTAGGCGAGGTTTAACACTAAGGAAAATGTCAGTGTCAAAGGTCACATGCTTAATAGGGCTGCTATGTATACTGAGTTCCGTGTCTCCCTCTGGTATTCCGCCTCAGGGTGATTCCATATGCTCATGAGTGAAGAAGTGGATTCTGGAATCATCTCTGGGGTTAGGTTCCTAACTTCAGAGGCTCTCGAAGCTCCTAGAAACTGTGGGCCAAATGGTGTATTTGGAGCATTTTCTGGGAGAAGGATCCATTTTTCCAAGCCCTTATCTCCCAAATGAAGTGCTTTTGGATTGTATTCTTCCTTGCTTTTAAAATTAACGGACAGCCAATTAGACCATCAATATTTAGACTAACACCCTCACAGGAAGAAGCAAAACATTTTATACCAGACTTCTAGGAGAAAAAATGGTATGTTAGAAATATATTAAAAATAAAATTTAATTCTATCATCTTCCTAAAGCAGAGGCTTTCGTTCAGAGAAATCTTAAACAGGCGTTACCTCTGGTCCCCTGAAAAGGCAAGGCAAGGCAAGAAGCCCTCCCCTCACAGTCTAGAGAAGTACTGCGTGCTCAGAAATATGCCCATCCTCTGATCGGCCAGTTTATGAATGTGAAATTGTACCAAGAGAGCCCACAAATAACAGCGAACGTGGAACACCTAAGGGGCAAAGATCTTAAGGACCTGCCGGTGTTGGGGTCCCGGCATTTCTGTGCCGGCAGGGCTGTTTCCAGAAAAGGCTCCTTGCACAAACGCTCTGACTGAAGTTTGTTCTGTCCGGCTCCCATTTAGTCAGGCCTCATTGTCAACAAGAGATTTCATGAGTGCTTCTGCCCACAGCGCTTCATTTTCTAGGTAGCCAGTTCCCACAACCCTGACTTCATGATGATGCTCATCTGTGTGTGGGGGTGGGGTGGGGACATGCAGGGACAAGAAGTTGAGTCTAACTAGAGATTGAGATCAGGCCCCAGCCATTCAAACCAGGGACATGCGTAAGACTTTCCTTGCCAGGAAAAACACTCCCCGTCTCAGGCCCACAGACTATGCCGTTATGTCTAGGAACACGATGGAAGGACAAGCGTCTTGATGGCTTCAGATGGCACCAACGAGAGACTTCGCACTAACAGGGTGTGAAATGCTACACGCAGAGCTGATAAATACCACTCACCAGAAAATACAAATCCACAGATTGCCGAGTCCAAACACATTTTAACAAACAGCAGAAAAATGAAAGGAAAACAGCACAGATAAAGGTTAGAGCGCATACAGCAGGTGAAAGTCTCCAATGAGTAAAAGAGAGGCATTTCATTAAGTAACCTGGATAAATCAGAATAATCCAAGTAAAAGAACATTCAACATTCAATTGGGACCCAACTTCCCCAATCTGCTTTACCACAAGCATGAATAAAGGCATTAGGTCAGTATCCTAACTAAGTAAAAACCCCAGTCTGTGTCTTATATCTGGACCCTGACAAGGTGGCTCCTGGCAGCGTTTTCCTGTCATCGCACCGTTAATTTCATGTGAAAGAAGGAAAGATGTGGGAAGCAGACCCCAGTCGGCATTTTTAATTTGGTAAAAACAGTAATATTCATTTAAATTTGTAGTCAAAAGGACTCATTTTTGAGGTGCGTGGGAATGTAAAAGTGCCATCTTCTGTAAAAAAATCAAGCTTCATTAATTACCCCACAAATTTGAAATTTTTACAAGATCAGACAAACTGCACAGCAGATGCACTATCTACAAAGAGAGGAATTCACTAAGCAAACCAGTAGCGTATGATTTAGGGAAAATGCTTCTCAAAACACTTTCGCAGCACCCGCTGGGCTGTGAAATCGATCACCTAATTATATATATTTCTGACTTTATGATTAAAGCTGACAGATCCCCTAGGGACCTAAGCCTGGTCCACACAATGCTGTCTGCGGCTGAAAGTTGAAGAAGGAACTTCTGTAATGATGATTCTGTTCAGGGAGCATCATTGCTCAGATGAGCTTGTGCTGCTTGTCTGAGTCAGTGGTGCTTTCTGGGTAATTGATAAACTGTGTGCACCGTGGCTAGCACCGAGATCAAGAGGCGCTGCCACAGCTGAGCAGAGGTGGTGACTCGTGGTCCATCGAACGCTGCTCTGGGTGATGGGGGCTGGCTGTCTCTGGGGGTGAAACTAGGAAACCATTCCCTGAAGTACTCTGGGGTCTGGGAGCACTTACACAGAAGCTCACTCAACACCCAGGGCCACTACACATCCAACCCCCTGCTCTAAGGTGGGAGGTGGAGGCTGGTTCCCCAGGGTTGGGTTTCGTTTAGGAAATGCATATAGCCCCTTACCCTTCTTTGCCAATTTCTCCAACCTTCAGGGCTTCAACAAGAGGCTCTTTACCTAGTTTGGTCAAATTCATTTTGGTCTCGAGAGTCATCAGAAAGGACCCATTGTAGGACATTTCCAAATCAATCCAGAGTCCTGGAGAAATGGTGAAAAAACAAAAGTTTTTTTTCCTCCCTCAAAGAAACATACGACCATCAATGACAATATGAAAATCTGTATCTTAAAGTGTCTAAGTGGGCATCACATTGAAAGTCTGCATTTCGCTTGAACCCCCAATACACACAAGAAGAGACAGTGAAAGCTTCTGGAAATGGTTTCAAGAGATGCCAGCATTTCAGTATTCATTAGCATGGTCACGGTGAATTCGCAACATGTTAGGGCTGGAAGGCCTCCATCCTCTGGTTTCTTCTCCTCACATTATGTAAAAAAATACACAACTCCCAGCAGAAGGAATTGGCTTGATCCAGGGTACAGCCTGGATGAAGTCTCCTGATTCCCTCTCAGTTACGAGGCAGAAGAGAAGTGCAGAGACTTCACTGCAAACTGGGTCCTTCTTTAGGGACACAGGTGAGAACCACAGTCTTTCTTAAAATTATCAAGATGGAGAGGGCACAGAAAATGGTTCAGATTTAGCTTGGCACAATAGAAACAGTGACAAAAACTTTTAGAAACCCCTTTCCTTCTGGAAATTACCTAGTAATGGAAGCAAAAGAATTAACTTTCTATTCCCAGGATTACCCAGATAAAATTGGGTAACCCCTGTGTACCTTAATTTAAAACCTTATTCCCTAAAAAAGATACTAATGCTAATGAGATCATATCAAAGAGGCTTTAGCCTTGAGAATTTCACTGGGATGGCCACCATCAGAAGTGGCCACTGACTAGTAGTCTAAAATGCAAATAGGGACCATCTCAGGACTCTCTTCTACTTGAAGCTCCTAAGATTCAGCAGGTAAGACAGGCAATGCTGTGATTTTTCAGGCTCAGAACTCCATACTATCTCATGGACTATCAATCAAATGGGATCCTTCAAGTGGATGGTTAAATGTTAATAAACTTTTATAGACCCTCATAAAACAAATGACAACATCTAAAAGGAAGCAGGAAATTAACCTAAAACCACTGTTATACACAGCAGCATTTTCAAGCAATTACACTAAATAACTCGTCCCCCATTTGGCCACCACCTCAGATAAAAAGCTTTGCTTAACCTCAAGATGTACTAACGGTGTAATTCCTCACTAAAGTCAGAATAATTTCCAGTTTGTTTTCAACAAATTCTTTTTCATGAATGACCTGTTTTAATTAAATGCTATGCAGAAGACTATGATTGTTTTTTTTTGCAGCAATACTCACAAAGCGGCTTTATTTCTTGATTACATTAAGCAGTCAAAAAAATTAATTAGTTTGCTCTTCAAAGGTACTATTACTTGAAATAAAGGGCACATTTGCTTTAATAAAGACATTTAGTCATCAACTGCTCCTAGTAGGAAGAGGAATGAGGTAGAAGGCTAGATTTTAAACTCAATATAAAAAGAACATCAATAAAGAAGGCATTTATTGTTGTATAATATCTCCAGCTTTATCTGAGAATCAATACATTCAAAATTACCTGGTTGCTGTATGGATTCAGACATAATCATCTCTTTTGAAAATCCTAGTCAGTTTTCCAATAAATATTAATAGTTTGTATTACCTCTGAGGAGCCCTGGTGGCACAGTGGTTAAGTGCTACGGCTGTTAACCCTATAGGGCAGTTCAACTTTGTCCTATAGGGTTGCTATGAGTCAGAATCCACTCGACGGCAATGGGTTTACTACCTTTGAAGGTTGTCATATTAAAGGTACCAAAATCCTACTTCTCATAAAATAGAAAAGGAGCTCTGGTGGTGCAGTGGTTAGGCGCTGGCTGCTAACTGAAAGGTCGGCAGTTTGAACCCACCATCCATTCCACAGGAGAAAGCTACGGCAGTCTGCTTTCCAAAAGATTTACAGCCTTGGAAACCCTATGGGGCAGTTCCACTCTGTCCTATAGGGTTGCTATGAGTCAGAACTGACTCTATGGCAGTGGGTTTAAAAAAACAAAATACAAGGTTTTGTTTGTCTGTTTTATCAATTAGGGGATTTGGATGTGGGCTTACTAAAGTGCTGGCTCACGCAAGTCAAGTGGACATTCCACCTGATCATGTGGGGTCCAGGAGCTCAGGCAGTGCAGGCCAAGGAAAGCATGGAGCCCAGCCAAATAGATGGGGCTTGAGTCTTACTAAAGTTTCTTAATCTCCGTGCCTTGGTCTCCTCATCTGCACAATGGAGACAACACTGTCTCTTCCGGGGATTGCTGTGTACAACCTGGAGCCTGGCACACCACGACCAGGTCTCTTTCCTTTCTCCGCCATTGCCAGCCCCACTTCCTGACTTCCACAAGTCCTGGCTCTGGCCTAGCTTACTGCTGTCGCCATGGCAGATGGGAGACAGTCCAGAAAAGGCCATGGGGCCAAGAGGAAAGAGGCTGCACTGAGGGGTCCAGGAGGGGAAGAGGCCTGGACATCTGATTAGACCTCCTAAGGGGGATGGGATCTGTTTCTTATACCATTGTACTGTATTTTTATGCAAATAACACACACCTTCTAAATTTGCTTGCCAACTACATCCTCCCCCCGCCCAAGGCATTTTCGTAAGTGTGCTATGCTAATTTTTTTTTACAGCAACATGTAAAAAAAATTGGCATAGCAACGCTTATGAAAATACCTCGAGGGAGGAGGGTGCAACTGGCAAACAAACATAGAAGGTACACGTTATTTGCATAAAAATATGATATATCCCCAACGAGGTCCACCCACAGGGCCTTACTCACCCGTGGCACTCAATGAACATATGAAGGAGACAAGGATGGTTTGAGAACTTTTGAAAAACAGATATAAAATACAAATAAATATTCCAACAAATTACTGTAATACGACATTCTTGCATTCAGATGAGGGCAAGAAGACTATTTTAGCCTTAGGTGCAAAGGAAAACTTGCTTCTGTGACAATGATTCAGCAGGCAAAATGTACCCTGAAAATCTGGGAGCAAGCGCAACTTGGAGCTGAGACCAACTGGTAACCTAAAGGTGAGTCATAACCTGAGTGACTGAGAGATGAAATTAACAGTTACTAGAAAGGTTGTCTTCCCACTGGTGATAAATGTAGCAACAATGAGAAGATGGGGACATACATTGTTCCATGAGTGGCATCTTAACTCTAGCATAGCTGAATGCTAGTAATCTAGAAAATGCAGTAACAGAACTTTTTATTTTTTTGCTCTTGACAAATGTTAAGGCTTTATTGTGAAGCATTTCATGTAAAATGCTGCTTTCTGTAACCATCTGCTCTTGGTAGCACTCAAGGACAAATACCAGAAGTCACATAGCAGGACAATTTTTGATGCCTTAAATGAGTAAGGCAGTCAGCCCTGAGAGGTTCTCTGGAAAGGGGGCTGGGGACATGAACACAAGGGGCCTCCATGTTGAGAGGACATCCAGTGGTCAAGGTGGTGCCTGATTATCAGTCAGCCCCTATAAAACCAGCGCTTCATCTGGCAATCCCGAAAACACAGCTGATGATGAAAATAGGAGCCTCTTCAGTCAGTCTTCACGTGAGGACCTGTGTGGAGTTCATACGGCTGGTTTTCCACTCTTTGGCCTCAGGAGGGAAGTTATCAGTTACCACCACCACCACTCAGAGGGATACTGCAGCAAAAGTCACATCTCATTCCACCTCAAAATGTTTGAGTTTCTAATGCAAGATATCAGAGCTAAAGACATTGAGATGACTCCTGCTCTCCAGGGGTTTATGCTTGAAGAGGAATGAAGATGGCCAGTGCTGGTGCTGGTGCCAGTCCAACTGTGATGCCACCAGAGAGGACAAAACTGCCTTGGTGCATGTCCCCAGAGATAAGGAGTAGCCCCAACTAGAGCAGAGGTTCTTCTGCTTTCTCCCTGGTTTGTTCTATTTGACAGACCCCACACCTAAGTAACAGTGCTACTGTGGCCATATAAATCTAGTCATTTCACTTAGCAGTCCATGGTTTTATTACTATTAAAATAACTAAAAGGCATCAGTCTCATTGGAATAGGCTTCACAGAGCACCTGCTGCTCTGAAGGAGTGAGGAGAAACTAAAGCCAGGGCTTTGAACTGGTTTGTTCTGGTTTGAACCCCTGCTGAGAATTTGCATTTCCACCCCAGATACACTGAATCAGAATCCGCATTTTAACAAGATCCCCAGGTGATTCTTATGTATAATGAATTTCAGAACCACTGCTCTACTAATGGTTCTCAGAATTAGTCCCTGACCAGCATTAGCATCGCCTGGGAACTTGTTAGAAATGCAAATTCTCAGCAGGGCTTCCAACCAAGGGAACTAGCTTAAAGCCCTGCCTAAAGCTTGCTCACCTGAGCTTGGTCCTCTTGTGACCTACTCCTCCATTCTCCTCCACCTGTAATTACAAGTGGCTGATCTGCACTCTGAAAGTCAACCTTTGGCGTCTGAAGAATAAAACTACAGGCAGTTCCCGGGTTACGAACAAGTCAGATGTTCATAACCCGGGACTGCCTGTACTTCAAATGCAATATCTGATAATATATTACCAACAGCAGACGTCTGAGTGATTCGGCTCTTAAAAGAAAAATGCATTAGTGATTGTTTTGTTCCTGGCAAACAGATTGGTGCCATATTGCTCATTCAAATACCACAGAAAATCAGTGTTTGGATGTATCTTTTAGGATAGACATCATTTTTAGCTTTGTTTCCTGTAACTGTTCTTTGAAACAGAGCTCTGCCTCTTCAAGGTTGACACTGTTGCAAATCAGAGTTCCCTCTCCCCAACCCACCCCCAAGCTCCACAGCAGGTATTTTTTCTTTCTGTAACACGATCCAGCCGGAGCATGAGTGTGTCATTCCCATCAACAGTGAGTTCTACACTTGGCCCAGCCTCGGTTCTCAGGCCTGGGCAGCCACGATCGCCACAGCTGCTCTTCTAACGTCTGCTACTCAAGAGGGCAGAACGGAGCAACACGAAGGTCACAGATTGACTCTGGTTCCAGTTTTCTGCAATATTCAGTCGGCAAAGTAACTTCAGCCCCAGCACTGGATACAG